GGCAGGCAGGTGAGCAGGAGGTGGGCATGTGGTGGGCTGGCAGGTGGCTACTTCTGCTGCGTCCTTGAGTGCTAGACCAAGCTTGGCACTGGAATAAGAGAAAGGATAAAGACCCTGAAGTCCAAGCCCCTGGGCCAAGCAAGTACCAGGACAATGAACTGGTCTCCTGAGCCTTCAGGGAAGGGCTGGAACAGCAGGAGCCCAGGCTGAGTTCAGATCACTTCTGCCCCCATGCCAGAGAGCTTCTTATGGGGCAACTCGGAGCCCTAGGCTTCCAGGGATGGGTAAGGCCCACTTAGGGAAGCCACACTCTCTAGCTGGTGACACACCCAGCCTGGGACAGGTGTCCCAGGTGTCTTAGGAGGCAGATGTCCCAGTGGAAAAGGGACCTACATTTCCAGGACATCAGCCTCCTGAATTCCATGTCCTGCCCAGCCCGCAGGCCACTGTGGTTCCCCCTGGGCCTCGGTCTCTGATTGGCCCGAGGACACGCATGCTTCAGGGCTGTCGGGGAGATTCAGTGGCCCCGTTTACAGGAGCTGTACAGCTCTGGCTGCAGTCTCAGGCAGTGGGAACACCTGCTGTACACTTTGTGGTTCATTCACTGAACTGACCTTCACGGGAGCCTTCAACACACCATCCTGAGCGACACGGGGCATTCACTCAGCGTGTGTTTGCTGAGCACCTACCATGAGGTAGGTGTTTATTCTCAATGCTGGAGCTCCATAGAGTCCAGCTTTCTGGGGTTCCCTTCCAGTGGGACAGACCGACAGATGAACAGACAGACACCAAACAGGAAACCAGACACACTGCCAGGTGGTGGTAACACATCAAAGGGACTGAAAGAATGTGCAGGGGGTAGACTGTGATGGGAGGGGTATGGAGGAGGGGAGGGGAGGTATGAAGACTGTCTCTCTGGGCGGAGACTCTGGGCATGTACCTGGGGGAAGGAAGGGAGAGGCGCTTGTTGGGTTGGGAGCAGCAGCTGCCGAGGCCCTGGGACACCGTCAGGGAGGCCGCTGTGCTGGGTGAGCACGTGGGTGAGGACTTTGATTCCATTAGCTGGTTTTGATTTAGGTTTTAAAAGGGTCACTCTGCTGTGAGGGACAAAGGACAGGGCAGGGAGGCAGGCAGCAGGCTCTCGCCTCAGTGTGGGCAAGAGGGGGATGGCCCGCCAGACAAGCATTCTTCTAAGCTGGCTGGAGTCAGTCCCACCTGCATTTAAGTGCTGACCGCTGACTGGCTAGGGTCAGTCACCCAATTGCTACGTGCCTCAGTTTCCTAGACGTAAGTGGTGTGGAGCGTGGGGCAAGGGACCTAGCAGGCAAGCTGTGCAGATATTTGAAATACTCCCTCCTGGTGCAAGGGGAGGAAAGAGAGAAAAGTCACAAGACTCAGACACCCCGCCAGGAGGTGATAAAACAGTGAATGGCAGCCGGGGAGAGGAGACTCCTCCCTGGAGCTGACTGTGAGATGCACAGGGAACTCCAGGGAGCGTGGTGAGCCACCACATACTGGAGTGGGCTTTTTGGTGATGTAGCTCCCGAGTCACCTGAGCTACAGCTCTGCCTTCAGCACCCACATGACCCACATTCATACTGTCTGAGTTTCGGTTTACCCATCTGGGAGGTGAGGATAACTCCAACCCTGAGATCCTGACGAGCTAACAAGTGTCTGTGATTGTGGGCGTGCTCTCGAGCATCTTCCCTCAGATACATGCTAATGACTACAAGGACAAGGATGGGGGTGACCAACATGACAATGGACCCTTCCTCACCTGTCACAGGACAGGCAGGATGCAGAGGCAGATATGCTGAGCTTCAGGGCACCAGCAGCTCCCCCAGTGTGGTCCTGGGGGCCCGGGCTGGAGGGAACCACACTCAGCCAGATCCTGCGTGGCGCCTTTGCACTGGGGCTGACCTGCTGCAGCATCAGAGCAGACTCAGCGAGCATCTGCTGTGAGCCATGGGCAGCCCCAACATGGGCTGAGAGCCTGGAACCACCAGGAACCACGGTGTGACAGGAAAACAAGCTGCTGGACCCATCAGCAGGGGGGCAGGAGCAGAGAGGAAACCTAGAAGCCTGGGTAGGCCGATGGTCTGGGGCTAGCAGCCGCTACAATCTGCAGCCAAGGGGGAGGCTGGAGAGCTTCCTCCCGAGGAAGGCAGAGCCCTGGGGAAGGCAAAGAGAGATTCAAGGTGTGGAGGGCACTGGGGCCTCAGGGAGCTGAGTCTTGGGTCACCTGAACAGAGACGGAGTCTGAAAAGCTGGACCAAAGTTCCTCTGTAAAATTCAATGAAGGCAGTGAGTCTCCAGCTCACCCGGGGCTTCCCTGTTCCCTAACTCAGTTAGAGACATGGAACAGGACAGCTGGCTGAAGCTCCATATGCCTGGCTGTTTAATTGGCACCTGGTTCTGCCTTCAGCCAGGCAGTCACTTTGCTCAAGAGGAAGATGAATGGAGTCAGTGCTCACAGGGCCTGAGGGGCCAGTGCTGTACCACAACCCCCAGGGTCTCCAGGATTGCTGTAGAAGTGGCAATTTAGGGGCCACCCAGGGCTTATCATTCACCAAGCCCCAGCTGGGAGCCACAGACCCGACAGCGGCCCTGCTGCAAGCGGGTGGTCGGTGGTGGAGCTTTCCCCTGTCTCCCCCATAGCAGGGCAGGGGTGCCCTAGAGCCTGGGCAGCTGAGACCACCCACACACAGCTGCCAGGATCATCATCTTGCAGGAGACTTTGACCTGACCTGCCCAGCTGGCCACCTGGCCTTGAGCCTCAGTTTCCCTATAGAGTCCAGATCTACTGCTCAGCTCAGCTTACAGAAAGCCTCCCCAGGGGCAAGGTGACATAAGGGTCTGCCACCATCACCCGAGTCCTCTGCTGGAGGCTTTGTGCCCTAGCAAGGGGAGGGTGTGTGCCAGAGAAGCCAGAGAAGCAGGCAGCCAAGATGCTGCCTTCTACACACGTCAGGATAAAGAGAGAAGCCGCAGGCTGAGCTCAGAAGACATCCTCCGTAGCCCTGCGCCCTGTCCCTCCAGTCTCCCAGGGGATTCTGGGAGTGGCAAAGGAGGTTCCACATGGCTGTCCAGCCCTTTTCCCTTGCTTCTCTCCTGACAAAACTGAAGCTTCATCCAACATCACAGCACATCCGAGGGCAGAAAGGGACCGGGAGGTGGTGTGTGAACGTGGCCACTGGACTAGAACATTCCCTCACAACACATCATACCCTATGGGCTTCTAGGCTACGATTTGAATGGGCAACCGGGTGGCCTCAGGCACAACTTCCCAAGTCTATGGGGGGAACCAGGAAGGCAGGGACATCTGAGCTCCACAGTATGTGAGTCCCACATGGCCGGGCAGACACCTTCCCTCAGAGCCGACTAACTCTAGCTTTTGTACAGTTCCGAGTGCTGGGCACAGCCCTGCTGCCTCCTCTACTTCTGTATCCCAAAGGTTCGGCATGGCACTTGGCATACGGTCAGTGCACCGTGTTCATTTTGTGAAAGCCAGTGTGGGAAGGACGGAACCCTGAGGCAGGCACCGGGCTCACAGCAGGTAAGCCAGGGGCATCGGGCACAGAGGTGGCGACTCAGTACCATGGGCCTCCATGCAGGCAAACACCCCAGCTGTGAGCATAGAACATGAGAAACCTTCACTGCCCTCCTTGGCAGCAGGTGGGGACACCACCAGGACGTTTCCTGGTGATTCTCAGGCCCTCTTGGCCAGTGAGCTCTGGGAGGTCTGTGACACAGGCGTGAGGTGCACACTTCAGGAAGTCTTGCCATTGGGCACAGTCAAGAGTCTGCTCACCTCACGTTCCCCGCATCTGTGTCTCGCTCCCCACCTGAATGTTGGCTCTCCATGGCCTCCCCTCTCCTACCACAGGAGCCAGCCCGAGCCCATCCAAGGGAAGACAGACAGAGGCTGTCTCCTGCATGATAGACAGGCAGTTACTTGTTCCGTGAGCACAAGAGGCTGTAAGTGCATCCGATTAATTATTCACGCCATTCATTATTGAAAAGGTCGCTACCTGGGAGCCGCTCCAGCAGTGGCTAACAAGCTCGCCCGTACCTCCCAGGAGAAGCAGCAAAGGTTCACGGGGTGCTTACTATGTGCCAGGCACCCCCCCCCAGAATAACCCAAGAAGGGGTACACAGCCCTGACTTCTCATGAGGACTGGAAGGTCAAAGGGTTTCAGAACTGTCTGAGGTCGTAGCACTGGGAAGCGGCAAAGGCAGTCTTGGGCTGGTCGGTCGCCCGCAGAGCCCAGTGGTCACTGTGCTGGGAAGTGTAGGGGGTGGGCAAGAGGGCACAAGATTACCTTGTAGCATGGGCTCTGGCCGTGACCCCCAGGGATACTGTGCCCAGAGTCTGAGTACCCTGAGTCTATGCCCACACCTACTACCTAGGCCCCCAGACTCTGCCCACCCAAGACCCTGGGCCAAGGAGCAGGCCATGCCTGTCTCTGTCCTTATAAGACACCCGCTCTCAAAGCCTCAACTCAGGGCAACAATGCTGCCACCCTCTGCCATCACCATCATCCTGGAGTGTAGGGCAGAGATGACAGCTGCCCAGACCTGGCCGTCCCCAAAGCCAAGCCCTTGATATGTCACCTCCCTCGCCAGCATCCTTCTCTCTCCCGAGTCACCGCAGGACAGCCTGCCTGAGTCACCTCCAGGTATGGACAGAAAAGGAGGTTTTTATCCTGGTCTCGTGCCGAAAACTCTTCCCCCAACTCCTGATGCGCGCTTCTCTTTCCTTTTGACCCAGCCACGAAAACTTGAAAAGCCATCCAACTTCGCCTTTCACCTCGGCCACTAGGAAACTCAAGTGACAGCCTGTCTTTGGCTTCTCCTCTAGACTCGTGTTGCCACCACTAGTGGCTTCCAGTCCTCCTGGACAAAGAGTAAGGACAGCAAACAGCCTGGTCACCCATGATCCAGACGCAGCGGCAGGGATAGCGCCAGGGCCACCCCAAGCTGTTAATGCAAACACTCACCAGGCAGATGAGCTTTGGAAGGCCATCAGGGGGGGGCTGTGTGTGTCTCCCCGCAGCGTGTGCACAGCCTGGGGGGCCTGCGGCAGGGCACCAGGGGGCGGCGGCTGCGGCTGCGGGGCTGGCGGTCCGGGTCGAGGGGCTCGAGCAGGGTTCCCCCACCGCCTGGGGTCCTGTTTCATCCACCGTCCGTGGACGCCCCACCGGGTCAGGTAAACCTTGCAAATGTCGTAGTTCATGGCGGAATAATAGAGCAAATCCAGGACCAGCAGGGTGAGCACGAAGAAGCCGTAGATCCACACTCCTAGCAGCGCTGTGTAGTTGCTGGAGAAGGAGAAGTGGAGACTGAGCCACACTCCTAACAGCACCAGCCCCATGTGCCAGCATCCACCACAGGCTGACAGACACTGCAGGCATCAGGGTTCACCCCCCATCTCCTTCCTTGTCTCCCTCCCACCCCAGTGTCCACTGCCCTGAACCTGACTGTGGTCTAAGCTGGATATTGGGGCTCCTCACCCCACTTTGCCCTGTATGTGCCATGACTCCCTGCTGGCTTTGCACATGCCACAGCTGCCCCAGGGCACTCCTGGTCCATCTGTCCTGGCCTCACTCCCAAGGGCAGAAGGTAGAGGCCTGCCGTTGCCTCGGGACACACTACACCAAGTCACACACCCCATGTGCCTCAGAAACCCATGCTAACCGCCCTCTGAGGGGGGTGCTACGCCTCCAGGCCCTCTGCAGAACTCCCCAGTTGTCTTGGTTTGTGTGGTGATGGGAATGGAACCGGGCGGGGTGGGGGGCTTCATATATGCTAGGGAAACACTCTACTCACTGAGCCACAATCCTGGCCTCTCCCGTCACCCCTCTGTTCCCTCCTCACACAGCATTTCCCCCACAGAGGCTGCAGAGGTGGCAAGAGCCATCAGGATTTAGCACTTGAAATGCTCTCAACCCGCTGCAAGCCTGATGACTCTTGGCATATTGGTTGAGCACTGAAGCACACATCTGGCCACTCCTAGCCCAGGGCCTTTGCACAGGCCATGCCCTCTGCCAGGTAGCCTTTTCCACATCCCCACCCCCTTCCCCTCATTTGAGACTCTTCCAACCCTCTAAGCCTTCATTAAGCCCAGTCTCTCCTATGACCCCTATCACCTGGGGTATATCTGCCCCCCTCACATCCCCTCCCCCAGCTTGGGGTCTTAGTCCCCTAGAGTGGGCTGGCTCTGGGTTTGTCACTGCAGCTGGATTGTTGAGCTCCTGACAGCACCCCCCAGGGACTAGGGGTGTTTAAAGGGGCTGATTTATCAACTGCTCAAGTGACACCCACCTCAGTCTATGCCCTGCCATGGACATCTGCTTGAGTGGATGTGGGCCAGCCAGAGTGTGGAGAAGAGGCTGACCAAGCAGGATGGATACCTCCACTCCAGGGGGTCCTGTGGCTCTGTCCAGACAGGACCCTGGAGTGCTGAAGCCCCTGGAGGCCCTGTCTGGGATTGGGGCTTCTGCCTGCCTGAGCTAGGAGCCTTGGCCTCCTCTGTCTACTTTGCCCTGTGGTCTATGAGAAACCCCGCCCACCTCTGGGTCCATAGGTTACTGCCTTAAGTCTCTCCTCAACTTAGATTCCCGCCTCTGCATCTTCCAAGGCTGCCCCCTGACTCCAGCTGTGGCATCTGGTGGTGAGGTGGTGGCTCTCCCCTGCCCAGCCCTGTCAGGACGGAAGCAGACCCAAGAAGCCCATTTTCATTCTCTACTCAGGGGAATGTTTCTCAGCTGGCCAAGTTCTTGGACTGATTTCCCTTCTGAGTCAGAGCAATGGGGGCGGGGCGGGAGTGGGGTGGGGCAGGGGCAGGGGCGGGGGCGGGGCGGGGCTAATGGTGAGGCTCGGCTGTGCTGTGCACATGGAGCTTGGCAGCCTCAAGACAGGTGCTCAGAACTCAGTACCACTCAGGACTTGGGCTCAGTACCATTCAGTGCTAAGTCCCCAGTAAATCCTAAACACTGGAAGTCTTAGCTCCTTCCTGCAAGCCCACCTCTCAGACAATACCACCCAAAGGTGTGGATGACTGACAGCCAAGCCCTGGGCTTTTTATTAACGGACACGAGCTTTACCTGGACGTGTCAGGGCACAGCAGAGACTGTCTGCCAGAAGAAAGAGGCCAAGAGCCCAACTCAGCCCTTACAGGCTGGAGTCTCACGGGAGACAGATGTCTAGGCGGGCTCTGGTCCCAGGCACCCAGCTCTCCCCAGATTTCTCTCTCTTGCAGCCCCCATGGCAGGGCTCTGAGAACCAGGCTGTTCCTGGTGGTTCCCATGGCAGCAGCCTGGGGGCTGAGGAGGCGGGGAGGGAGCAGGGCCGCTCTCTGCAGATGCTGCTTGGCATCCAGAGCAAGAGGGGTGGTGGCCCTGTCTGGAGCTAGGCACACTCCAAACGTGAGCCTAGGGCGAGGGGCAGCTGAAGGTCCCTCTGCTCTGCATAGTGCTAAGAAGGAAGAAAATGGACCTGCCATGCCTAAGAGGGAAATTGGGCAGGGAGAGCCACCTCTGAGGGACCAAAGTCCACTCTAAGATCCCCCCAGCCATGTCAGCAGTACCGGGACATGAATTCTTAGGAGCACCTGAGCCAACCCCAACACAAACAGCTTCAGAGGTGTCCCACGCAAGACTTAGGGACCAAGCCACACCACCTGTGATGCATCTCTGCTGGGCTCAACTCCCATCTCATGCACACTCAACTGACCCTGGTGCTAGGTTACAGCTTGGCCAATAGCAAGCCTCCTGGAGCTTCATGTGGGTCCCAACATCACCGGGCTTCTGAGGTCACCCTGTGGCTGTCTTCATTTGTAAGACTGTTGTAGAGATGGCTCAGCAGTTAAGATCACTGGGTGCTCTTCCAGAGGACCAGGGTTCAATTCCCAGCACCCACATGGCAGCTCACAACTGTCTGTAACTTCAGTTCCCTGGGATCTGACATCTTCACACCAATGCACATAAAATAAAGTTAAATTAAAAAAAAATTTTTTTAAAAAAGTAAAAATGCCAAAAGGCAATTAAGTCTATAAAAAAAAAAAGGGGGGCTGGGCGGTGGTGGCGCACGCCTTTAATCCCAGCACTCGGGAGGCAGAGCCAGGCGGATCTCTGTGAGTTCGAGGCCAGCCTGGGCTACCAAGTGAGTTCCAGGAAAGGCGCAAAGCTACACAGAGAAACCCTGTCTCAAAAAACCTAAAAAAAAAAAAAAAAAAGACTGTTGTCCCATGAGACTGGGGACTCCCCAAGGGCAGGTAGGGATCAAACTTGTCCTTGCATGCCCAACACTGTGTTGTAGTGCAGACAAAGACACAGTGAGAACTGAGGATGGGCAGGTCATGGGTGGGTATGACACAGACCAGCACTGGCTGGGTGTTAATAGTTGTGTGCATAGCATACCAATGGTAAACAGGGACACTTTCAGTTCTGAGCCTGTGCCACGTGCCCTGGTCTCAGAGTGATGACCCCATTTTACAGATGAGCCCCGCAGGTGAGTAGTGCCACCACTCACAGTGACTAATTCACTCCTGTTTTATAGAAGTGGAAACTGAGGTTCATCTCCCTAAGACTGTGGAAAGTGAAATTTGAAGAGCTGAATTTGGGTCCCAGGGGCTCCCACCTGCGAGCCCATGTCTCCATTGTAAGGCTGACCGGGCCACTTCCACGGTGTATTCTGCGTTCCTGTTTTATAGTTGAACTCTACAGAGGGCTGTTCCCCATTCCTACCCAGTCAACCCAACCAGCCGGCCAGGGATGCTGCAGCCAGGGTCTTCCTGCTCTGATTGACAGACTGGACTACTGCTCCCATAACTTTCTGGTGGGGACAGGGATTTCCATCCCAGGTCAGGTCTCTACAACCCCAGAGTATGCTGAATCCTGGGAAATCCCAAGGTCGGATCTAAGGCAGACACCAATGAGGGAGTCTCTGGCTTCTGTGCTCTCATCCAGACTCCACCTGTACCAGGAATGAAGAACAAGTCCTGTACCCTCTCCCTTGAGTATTCTGCCTAATAAAAGGTTGATTGTTCCACCTGTGTGTGTGGCTTGGCCGGAGGCCTCTGCAGCAGGACAGTATCCCCACTGTTTATTCCCTCTTCTACGGAAGGTGCTGCTTTCAGGGAACATGCCCTGTGTGTGGCAGGTGGAGTGCCAGGACCACAGACCTCTCTGCCACAGCTTGCAGCCCCCAGGCTATGCCCTCCACGGCCTGCCAGTTGCAAGGATTTGAGTCTTTAATTTTTAAAATGTAATTTAAAATATGCAATCTGGAAATTAACTGCATCCAGATGCCAGGGCTTGGCCCCCTCCTTCCTGGAGGGAGAAGGCAAAAGACCGAGGCTGCGGTGGGGCATCTGTGACTGCCCAGCCTCAGACAGTGGCAGGCACCGTGTGCGGGTCTGGGTGACTCAGCTTCCTTGGGGTTTCCAAAGTGATAATAGAACCTTACCGCTGGAGGAATCACAGTGTGTCTGTGGAGCAGAGCGGCTACGTCAGCAGCCATCAGCAGACAGCCTGGCCTGGCCTGGCCTGGGATGGAAATTCCCCGTCCCCACCAGGAAGTCAAGGGAATAATGGCCCCACCTATCACTTAGAGCAGGAAGACCCTGGCTGCAGCATCCCTGGCCGGCTGGTTGGGTTGACTGGGTAGGAATGGGAACAGTCCTCTGCAGAGTTCATTCATAAAGCAGGAACGCAGAATACACCGTGGAAGTGGCCCCGTCAGCCTTACAACGGAGACATGGGCTCGCAGGTGGGAGCCCCTGGGACCCAAATTCAGCTCTTCAAAATTCGCTTTCCACAGTCTTAGGGAGATGAACCTCGGTTTCTGCTTTGAAGTAGGAGTGACTACATGTCCTACTTTGGGGATGTAACTGTGAGGTCTCGCAAACTGACATGAGGTCCAGGAAAAAGAAGGGACCTTGGAGGCTGGGGCTCAGCTCAGCCGGTAGAATTTTTTTTTTCTTGGAGTGCATGAAGCCGTGGGTTTTAGCCCCAGTACTACATAAAAGGTTCATGTTGGCAGATGTTTGTAATCTCAGCACTTGGAAGGTGGAGACAGGAAGATTAGGCCTTCAAGGCCATCCTTGTCTACATAGAGAGTTGGTAACTAGCCTGGGTGACATAAGACCCTGCCTCAAACAAAACAAAAAGAGATAGAGAAGAGACTGATGAGGGCAGGCTCATGTGACGCACAGAGGAAGCCAAGCTGTGGTAGCACACACCTGTGATCCCAGTACTTGGGACGCTGAAGCACAAGGATCTCCAGTTCATGGCTAGCCTGGGCTACAGACCTGTCTCTA